CCCCAGAAGGTAGGGGACAGGAGATACTTCTGCTCCCTGCTTCCATATGGAGGGGTCCCACTTTCTGCAGATCTAGGGTTCAGGGAGTAGGATCAAGTCCAGTGACTTGTCAGATCTACAAGTTTTCCATGTTTCCCATGGGGATTTTGTAGGGGGGAAGATAAGTAAAAAATGATCACAGTTAACTGAATGCTAGCCAAACGTTTCTGGATCCAAGTTGGATAAAAAGCAACCAGTCTTAGATGGAATAACTTACATGCTTGAACCTCCACAGATTTTTCAGCTGGTAGGATGTTGTTGGGCAATGTGTGGTTTTAAATGCATTTGAGCTTACTCATATTGAAATGTAAAATCGAACACATCATATGTATTTTTTTAGGTATCTGGAGGAATTGGGGCTTGTAAGCCTACCATATAAATAGATTAACGATGCATAACTCTTACATTATCATCAGTGACAGATGTAATCTGAATCCTATATTATTCATGTGATGTAATTTTTAAAGAACATATTTGTTGAGAGAACATGTTAGAACAGAAATTGCTTGTACAGAATTTTGTAATGTTCAAGTATATTGCAATGCTGAGTTATGTTTGTTTTGTATTTGTAACAGTCACAATTAAGAACATTAGGTCAGAAAGTTGTTCCTTACTTAGTCTAATCATGGTTACTGTGTATATAATGTCTGTTGTTAATAGACTGAAAAGCCCATTTTGGATTAGAGACCCATAATGAGGGACACACTAAGCACATATGGGACTGATTCCTCACTGCCTTAATGCTGGATTAATCAGGCACCTACGTGGGCAGTTCATGGGTTAAGCAGTAACCATGTTAAGCTTGTGGAGCCTAACATGTAAGTGAGGAGAAAGAAACCTCTGCAAAACAGTCACAAAAAATGGGCAGTATCAACAAATTACCATGGTATTTGTGAAACAGTTAGTTATGTTTCTTACAAATACGAGTCCTGATCTATTGTTTTTCCTCCATTGTTTAATCATATGTCATCATGAGAGCATAGCGTAAACTAGTGTAAATGGTGGATTCTCTGTAACTTGAAGTCTTTAAATCATGATTTGAGGACTTCAGTAACTCAGCCAGAGGTTATGGGTCTATTATAAGAGTGGGTGGGTGAGGTTCTGTGACCTGCAATGTGCAGGAGGTCATGATGATCCCTCCTGCCTTAAAATCTATGAATCTAAAGCTGCTTTTCGGGGACTGTTATTTATTTACTATAAATGTGTACAGTGCTCCGCACAATGGTGACCCAATGTGATTGAGGCCTGGAAGTGCTACTGCAATAGAAATGTTCAGTAATAATAACTGATTTAGAAATGGAATTGAAACAAAGATTTCAGTGTTAAATTACACTTCTGAAAGCAGAAAGCGTAACCAAAGCTGCTTGGTTTATGTGATTTATGAACTTGAAACTCTGTGTTGTAGAACTGTTTTTTCTTACCTGCTGCAAAATCCTTTTCAGTGGACAGAAAGCCCTTTCTCCCTTTAACATTAATGTTGGTTTCAGTTGCCATCTTGTGCTTAAATCTCACCTCAAGCTGCCTTTCTACCTCCACCGCTAATCAAATCATTAGTGCTAAAAGGATTAGTACAGACTGTAAACAAAGATCCTGATTTTTCCAGGACCATGCAATTTGTTCAGTCATTTACACGTGTGTACTGTGGATATAAAGCAACCAAATCAGAATTCTTCATTTATTCACACCAGTGATAGCATTTTACACCCACTTTGCACAAGTGTAAATGTTTGCACAAGGTGCAACATAGTTGGGACCCAAAACCAAGGATCTAGGTCCTCATCCTTTATAGTTTTGGTCGTGACTACTGATGGGTATGAAATGTATCAAGGGCAGCTCCCTGCACCACCAACTACAAGTGCTGCCTCTATTTTTGAGTTCTTCTTCCTTATTTAGTTTTCCTTTAACTTTCTGTCCAGAGACTTATTACTGTTATATATTTTTGTATTTTTTTTCTTTAAAAATTTGAACTTGTACAATTTTACTTTTTCAAGAGCTTCTCTAGTTTCGGAGAATGTTTACTTTTCCATGCAGTAGTCCTGTGCAATTGTGTATATATCTCTTTGGGTTGAACTGAATTTTCTTTCTTTCTTTCTTTCTTTCTTTCTTTTCTTTCATACCATAGGTTAGAACTGCAAAATGCTAAACTTGTCTCTTCATATTTCAAGAATGAACAGAGTCTCAGAGCATTTTGCAGTGTGTATATGAAACTTCAAAGGCCAAATTACATGCTTCTTGACACAGAAATAGGGTCACAATTTTTGACAGCTAGTGATTTCCCTTATTCACAAATATGTCTTCCTCTAAACTGTCTCACGCTTCCACTATTTTGTGAAACGAAACTCCTCTTGCAGTTCTATCTCTTCCCAAGTGATGGCAACTCTTGAGAATGCATCTGCCTCCACATTCCTGGAATGAGCATTGCCTGGAAAAGTTGACTATTGTCCACAGCCACATCAAAATCCAAATTGTTGGGTCAGACATCCATATTACAGCTTTCTAAGGATACATTTACACTGCAAAAAAACAAAAACAAAAAAACCTAAACAAACTCATGGTAGAGTCTTAGAACAGGGGTCCACCGACTTAGGCTTGCTGGGCTCATGCTACGGGACTTAAAACAGCAGTAGAGATGTTCTGCTCAGGCTCTAAAACGTAGCGAAAGGAGTGGAGCTCAGAGCCCAGACTCCAGCCCAAGCAGGAATGTCTATTGGTATTTTTAGCACCCTAATGCGAGCCAGAGTCAGCTGACCCGGGCTCTGAGACTTGCTGCCGCTGTGTGGTGTGTTTTGAGGGATTTTTTTTTTTTGGCAGTGTAGCCATACCCTTAGAGTTTCTCTAATTAAATCTCTTTGTTTATTCTATTGCTTTCCTCAAAAATATGTAGGTGTGCATTTTTCCAGGCTGGCTCTCATTGTTTCCCATTGCTCTCAGTAAGAGGTGGATTGAGTCATAGATCCTTTTACATTTTTCTTTGATTTACAGGAGGCTTCCAAGAACTCTGAATTTGATTAATATTTGGTTTATCCCTGGCTTCCAGCTCATTAATTAAAAAAAAAAAAGTTAAATAAAACATGGCTAACACAATTTCTGAAGCGCCTACTGTACCACTCCCCTCACTCAATATATTGCTATTAATCTTATTTTTTACAGTCCATTAGCTGGTTTTCACTCCAGGCGACAGTGCTCCTGTCTAGGCTAAACTGAATAATTTTCCAAACAATACACTATACTGAATGCTTTCTGTATATAGATATATCACACCAACTACATTCTCTTGATCCATTAATTTTGAATTTTGACCCAAAAAAGAGAGATCAAATTTGTCTGGCACATTTTTTTAAATAAAGATCTGTATCAAGTTCACGTTATTCTAATATTCTGTCACCTAGAGTAAATCTAGTGGGTTTCATTCTTTTTCTAGTGTCATGAAAGGGGTCAAATTGACTACCACATTTGCTATATTAAAAAAAAAAAAAAAAGTCCAAGATTTCAAAATAGTTGTCTTCCACTAAAAGTACCTCTTAAGACTTAATGGCAATTTCTATCTTGTTCCTCTTCAGATTAAGAATTTACCGGACTTTGGCAGGAGCTGTTTAAAGCCTTACATTCAAAAGCATATAGTGTAAACTCGGCCTTATTCTGCTAAACTTTCTCCCACAAAGAATCCTCACTCAGGCATGTACTTCCATGAAAGTCAGTGGCACTATTATGTGAGAAAAGGCTCATCTTGTGTAGGAATGCAAGATCAGGCCAAACATTTAAGGCTAAATATGAAGCTGTCTGCAAAAGAAGTGACAGTTTGAGTATCAGCCTGACAGGCCAAATCTCATAATATAAATGCAGAAAATGAAGCAGCAAAGAAAGCTCATGTGTTTTGAAGCAGCTGTTATGGATATAAAAGCATTTTACAAGGTTATCTCTTAAAGTAGTGAATATGTGGAATTAAAAGTTGTAGTTTTGGGGAAAACTAGCAGAAAATGAGGCATGTACCAGTCCTTGGGATCTCCTTGGACAAAGAGGTAACTGGAATGTATGGAAAATTTAACTTGTGCACTTCTGAAGCTCAGTGAAATAGAGGAGTGGCTCTGTGAAACACCAGGATTCTCGTAACAAGAAAATGTGTAAGAGAGCAGTACTCTAATGATTATATATTATCAGATGTTGGGGATAAAGAATGGATGGTAAGAACTTCAAGAAAAGAGGAGATAAAATGTGAGGGAGATAGTAACCTTACTTTTCTGAATAGGAATCTCATTATTAAGCTGAAAGAGGAGGTCTGTATCCTTACAAGGAGGCAGCTGGTAAAAAAGAACATGACCCCAGTAACTTCAGTTCTGTGCCCTGTAATGGTCCAAATCACTTACTATTATGTGAGTTACATGTTCTGGAATATAGTGTCAGTATCTAAGGCTTTCAGTGATCTCGAAGAAATCCTTTATAAAAGGAGATTAAATGGAGATTTCTATTGCAAGATCATGTATTTTGTGTTGCTGCTAAATTCTGCTCACTTGAACAGTTCACTTATTTTAATAGAATTCCAAGTTTCAATCTATTCAGCTGATTAACAAGTTGTGATTAAATAGCATTAGTTAGGGGTGGAAGTTGGAAGGAAATGGATCGGCTGGTAGTTTACAAATTAGTTGGCACATAAATACTGGCTATATTCACATGGAAGAGAAATCTGATGACTATATTTTCCTTTTTTTTTTCTTTTCTAGTATGATCTTTTTTTAGTGTTTTTTGCCTATTCTAGTTCATTGAACTGAAGCAGGATGACAAAGAACAGTAACTAAAGGATGGTCATATACATTTGCCTAGCGACTGTTAGGCTTTGCTTCTTTTATAGCTGTAGGCTGCATCAGTGTGCCAGATTTGTTGGCTGTGAACATATTAACAGAAGGACTTCCCAAATGTTGCAAATCCTAACATTTTGTCATCTTTGTCCCTTAGAGTTCTGAAGTCTGTGATGTTATTTTGGAGTGGCGCTGTGTTGTGGAATTCAGAAATAAAACAGATGTTTCAGTAGTTCTCAGTAAGTAAAACACAACACAACATATTTAACATTCATTTTTGTTACTATATCAATATTTAGAAAATCCTTGAAACATTGCTAAACATGTAGACTGAATGTATCCTGTTGTCTGATAAGGAAACATACAGCTAAACCTCCCCTGCCTTTATTCTGATGACTGAAAAGAGTATCTCAAAAGGCTGCAGTTGCTTTTTCTAAAATTTAGATGAAAAGTCATATGTAGTATAGCTCCTCTGACAGTAAATATGGGTTTGATGTTTTGGTTCATTAGATATATTGTACAATATGGGTCTAGAGTTGGTGCATGGCCATTCCAATTTCCCGTCTCCCCCAATCATCTGTGCTTAATCATGACCATTTTTCATGTAATGTGTTTTTTGCTTTACACTTTTGTTTTCTGCCCTATACTACTAATTCATTTAGTGAATGGATGTTAAGGACAATAACTAAATATACATGAGTTATTTCATGCAAATCTAAATAAGAATTTGAATGTAAAGATTTTCATTTGGATCTGATATGGACAGCATTTTTTATTGTAAATGCTAAAATATAAACCTTCCCTCTGTAGAAATGGCTTACAGGATTGCTGTCAATCAGCTATGATTGTGTTTGAAATTATTTATGGAGTTCGCCTAATATCACAACCAAGTTTCAAAGCCCCTTATATCAATTTGCCATGTTAATTTAGCTCTAATGGACCCTGAGTTCAGCAAGAAAGTTGACTGTACCTAGCTGGATTGATGCATTATGATTTCTTATTTTTTGTGAGTACCAAACAATTTTTTCCACAGCACTAACCATTTTAAGATGTGTACTGAAACTCAGGTGGTGGAATGGAATTCATTCACAAACCTTTTTTCTGGGGGTATCTTGATTCAAAATTTTAAATCTATCTTGTGTCACAAGTGTAATGAGTATTGTGATCTTTGGTGGACATCTGTCTATAACATGCATCCCACAAAGCATCTGGCACAATTGGTCTTGACTGATAGTCACTTCTCAGGAAAAGCACAGAACTGGTTTGGTAGGAGTGTAGAAAGTTGGGATGGCAGTATATTAGCAAATCTATGGGAGGAAACTTGAATAGCATTTGACTGCTCAGTTCCTGGCAGTAACTACGATTAATATTAGCAGTCTTGTTACTATTGTTCCCTGGTTTTTACAAGCACCAAATTCCCTTCCACCCACTTCAAGAAAAACACTAAACAGATTATTCAGACTCTTTGGTATAGCTCTCTCAGATGACTCTCAATGTTCAGTTGCAGTTGAGAGGTCAATAATTTAAAACGGATTCATTAAGGTTTCTGTCCTTTTATGGTTATTTTTCTGAAGATCTGTTTAAGTCTGCCTCTTCAGGATTGGAATTAAACTGTGTATCATGCACCCTGTGTGAAGGAATCAGTCAAAAAGGACTCTTAGGCTACTTATTTCACTTTAACAGTAGGAGCTAGAGGATTAACGTAACTCTCGGAATTACTTGACTTTTCCAATTGTATATTTATTGGCTATAACTATAGTCATGGTAGTTCTGTGTTAGTAGCTCTTCATACTTCTAGCACAAAACTCCTTTGATACCAGGAATTTGATAATGATGCTGGGCCCCCTTCTCTCCTGGTCATAATTTCCTATTCTCCTCATCAGAGAAACTTGATTTTCCCCATCTCCTTATGTCATGGAGTGTGGGGGAGTCAGGGCCCCGCACCCCCCACTTCCTGCGATTCACTGTGACTCTCAGCCAGCCAGTAAAACAGAAGGTTTATTCGACGACAGGAACACAGTCCCAAGCAGGGCTTGTAGGTACAACCAGGACCCCTCAGCCAGGTCCCTCTGGGGGGCAAGGATCTTAGACCCCAGACTTGGGGTTCCCTGCCTCGTCCCAGCCAGCCCAAAACTGAAAACCAAAAACCCCTCCCTCAGGCTCTCTCCCCCTCCCTCTTCCTTTGTCCAGTTTCCCCGGCAAAGGTGTCGACTCGCCCCACCCCCCTTCCTGGCTCAGGTTACGGGCTCAGGTACTGTCCCTCACCTAAAGTCATCCCCTGCTCTCCCATCCCCCATGCAGATAGTCCAGTAAAACTAAACGACATTCCCAGGTCAATCCACTCCGCTCCCTACTGCGTCACATCTTCTGTCCTGCGTCATGGAGGTGTGCCCAGTCCTTCCCCGTGCATTGGCATTGCGTGTGTCCAGCTCCTGCCAACTCCTGTATCTTTGCGGAAAGAAGAAAGAAAGCTCCACTGTCCCTGAATAATTACTTAAAATAAAAAAAAATGTTAAGAACGCTAGTTTACATGGGAATTGAACCTGCCAACACAGTGCTCTGTACATTCTCATCCCTCCCCTCACATTCGAGCCTCTAGCTCCCTAGGGAATGCTAATAATCTTGTCCCAGCAGAGGTGCTGTAACAGTACCAGTAGTTCCCTGCTAGCAGCAAGGAGTGCTATTCACACACAACTACAGGGACTGCATTCACTTGAGATATACATACCTCGTTAAGATCGGTTCTAAAAGACGAGAAGGGAATTTTCCTCTTCAGGCTGTTGCCTTCACAGAGTTGCTCTGTGCAAGCTGCTAGCCTGACCTTGTGGCCACAAAACCTTCTTTGAACTGGTATGGTGGTGGCATGAGTCCAACCCTTCTATCTAGTGAGGGATTCGTCCCTCATGTGACAGTTTGGGGATGAGACCGTCAAAATGTGAATCACATTTCGTTTTGTGAACCCCATTTGTGATTGTAAGCTTCATTGTGGATTACAGCATCCATTTTGTAGCGAAGACTTGACACCTAGTGGACAGACTATGTCTAAGAAGCTGTGTCAGAGCAATCTAGGGCCACCAACATTGAATGTCTCTTCCTTACTGAAACAATGGGCCATTAAATGACATTCTACTCAGAAACTGGTGTGGGGGCTGGAGCTAAGTCCTTACCCCCGGCTTGCAGCATATGGGGGGAAAGGGTACAGAGAGTCAGTTTTAAAAGGAGTGGTTCACTAAGCAATTGGAGGCTAACCAATATCAGAATCAAGAAGATCAGGCCAAGCAGTCAGGATAATACCCAACAGGAGGACTTGTGTTCAGGAGCTTGTTGCTTTCCATAGACTGGTAACTCTCTTCTGTTTTTGGTTTTGTTTTAAAAGTAAAGTGTTTTCAGCTAAGAAATTCCTTTAAGCATCTGTATCCTTGCTTTTCTGCCAGTGGTCCTTGCATGGTGTAACTGGGAAAACGAGTGATCCCATAGCTAGGTGGACTTTTGTGTGGCGAACGTGTCGAAGCAACTGAGGACTTAGGAGGGCTGAGTCATTGGTTCCAAGATCTAAGTGGCTGGACTGCGAGGTCACATTGCCTGAGGAGGGTATTCGGCCTGGGATCTGCACCTAGGAGTGCATTTGAGGGACCAAGAGAGTAACTAGTCACTGCCCCAACCTACAGGCTTAGAAGCAGTTGGGAATCAGCAGTTAGATCCAACCACAATAGACTGTTGTCCATCCACAGAGTGGTACTGGACCAGATTGTGACATCTCACTGCTAACTTACCCACGGTTCCTCCCTGTCTGCCAGTCTTACCGTCTCCCTTTTGCATGGAATAATTTGTTCTTTTTTGCAAGTAGCTGCCAAAAGCTATTTATAATAATAGGATAGTACAAGCATAGATATTTTAAAAACATTTTTGTTGTTTTTTTCTTTATCTGATTTTGTGGCACATTTTATGGCCTGGCTCATTATGGCAGACCCAGATAAAGAGACATGATTCAATATAGTGCTCATCTTTAAAAAAGGGAAGAAGGAGAACCTGGAGAACTATAGACCAGTCAGCCTCACCTCAGTCCCTGGAAAAATCATGGAGCAGGTCCTCCAGGAAACCATTTTGAAGCACTTGCAGGAGAGGAAGGTGATCAGGAACAGTCAACATGGATTCACCAAGGCAAGTCATGCCTGACCAACCTGATTGCCTTCTATGATGAGATAACTGGCTCTGTGGATATGGAGAAAGCAGTGGACATGATATATCTTGACTTTAGCAAAGCTTTTGTTACGGTCTCCTACAGTATTCTTGCCAGCAAGTTGAAGTATGGATTGGATGAATGGACATAAGGTGGATAGAAAGCTGGCTAGATTGTCGGGCTCAATGGGTAGTGATCAACGGCTTGATGTCTAGTTGGCAGCCGGTATCAAGTGGAGTACCCAAGGGATCGGTCCTGGTGTCAGTTTTGTTCAACATCTTTATTAATGATCTGGATGACGGGATGAATTGCACTCTCAGCAAGTTCACAGATGACACTTCGCTGGGGGGAGAGGTAAATACGCTGGAGGGTATGGATAGGGTCCAGAGTGACCTAGATAAATTGGAGGATTGGACCAAAAGAAATCTGATGAGGTTCAACAAGGACAAGTGCAGAGTCCTGCACTTAGGAAGGAAGAATCCCATGCACTGCTACAGGCTGGGGACTGACTGGCTAAGCGACAGTTCTGCAGAAAAGGACCTGGGGATTACAGTGGACGAGAAGCTGGATATGAGTCAGCAGTGTGCCCTTGTTGCCAAGAAGGCTAACAGCATATTGGGCTGCATTAGTAGGAGCATTGCCAGCAGATCGAGGGAAGTGATTATTCCCCTCTATTCGGCACTGGTGAGGCCACATCTGGAGTATTGTGTCCAGTTTTGGGCCCCCCACTACAGAAAGGATGTGGACAAATTGGAGAGAGTCCAGCGGAGGGCAACAAAAATGATCAGGGGCTTGGGGCACATGACTTACAAGGAGAGGCTGAGGGAACTGGGCTTGTTTAGTCTGCAGAAGAGAAGAGTGAAGGGAAGATTTGAAACTAGCTGAAGGGGGGTTCCAAAGAGGATGGAGCTAGGCTGTTCTCAGTGGTGGCAGATGACAGAACAAGGAGCAATGGTCTCAAGTTGCAGTGGGGGAGGTCTAGGTTGGATATTAGGAAACAGTGTTTCACTAGGAGGGTGGTGAAGCACTGGAATGGGTTACCTAGGGAATCTCCATCAT